TTAAGCATAATAAGAGTATATATTAAGCCTTAAAAATCTTTAATATTTTATGCTTAGGTATATAGCTTAAAAAGCTGTGTAATTTTATAAATTATATTAGGGAATTTATTTATAATAAATATAGTAGCATTTAAAAATTAAAAAATATTATACTTTAAAAATTATAAAATAAATATAAGCTTAACTTAATATACTTGCTATATTAACTTAATAACTTAGTTAATATCCTAACCTTAAATAAAATAAAGATTTTAAATAAAAATATTAATAAGTTTATAAAAGAAATCCTTAATAAAGCTAAGGTTATTATTTATATATTTATTATTACTTAATCCTTAATATATAAGAAACTTATAAATCTTATAATTATCCTTATTAATAAAGCATTATAAGAATTTAAATTATATATTTATTAAATGCAAACTATATTTAACTATTACCTTTTTATACTTATTAATAATTATTGCTAAAATAAACTATTTATTAATAAATAATATAATAAAAATAATAAATATAAGAATATTTACTTTAATTAGCTCTTAATACCCCTTTTTTATTAAGTTATAATTATAAAACCTAATTATATTGCCTTTTTTATAAAAAACCATTAATAGCATAAGAAACTTTAAGATTTTGCATTTAATATCTTTTATAATAAAAACATATAAACCATTTTTAACTCTTGCATACCTTTTAACTTAATTTACGCTTAATATATATTTATTTAACAGCTTATTCATAATATATATATTTTTAAAATAAATTTTAATCTTATTAATAATAAGGTAATTAAGTTATTCTTTAATAATTATATTTCTTTAATATATTAATTTATAATAATTAAGAAAGGCATTAGCTTTATTAATATAATATAAGCTTAGCTATTAATAGAAATAGCAGCTTATATTTACTAATCTTATATTTTAAATATTAATATATTAATAAGGCCTTAAATTTATATTATTATGCCTTATAATGCCTAAATTAATAAAATTAAAACCTATCTTTAAGCCTTATTTAATAAAGAAGTTTATTATAACCTTATTAAAGTTTATACTTAAATAATTATAACTAGCGGTAAATAAAATGTTGTGATTTTTTGCTTTATTTAAGATAGTAATATAAAATTCCTTTTTAAGGCTAATTGCATTAATATTATATAAATACGCTTTAAGTACTTATTAATTAATATTTTAAATAAAAACTTTTTTATTAAGCTTAAAAGATAAAATGTAAAGATTATAGCTTAATATATAGCAACTTAAATACTTTATAATATATATTGCAAAGATCTTTATAATTAAGGTAATGTTTATTATTAATGCTATATTCCTTATTATATTATTAAGAAAGTTACTTAAAAGGATTATAATAAGCTTACTTATTTTTTTTATAAATTTAAAGGTTATTATGCCTATAATTATTAAGAAAAGGGTTTGCTTAATTTAATTATAAACCTTAATATTATTAATTATTTATACCAAAATATTAAGCAAAATTATAGTAATAAAGAAACCATTAATTAATAAAAAAATAATAAATATAACTTTAATATAAATCCTTCTATATAGCTTAAAAAGAATTTTTAAATAAATTAGCAAAATAATAATAATAACGCTAATTATAATAAGGTTAAGAAATTAGCAAAAAAACTTTACTTAAACTTAAAGGCTTAATTAAATAAATTGCTTTAAGATAACGCCTTAAAGATACTTAATATATAGCTTTTTACTATATTAGCAAAAGATATAAAGCTTAATAAATTTAAGCAATTTAATAATAAAAATAAAAAGAAAAATAAGGATTAAGCTAAAAACTTAAATAATTTTAAAGAATTCTTAATAAATAAAAAGATTATTAAGCTTAAAAAGGTTTATTAAGGCTTAAGAAAGAAAAAGAAGGGTATATAAATTAATATTTACATTATAAATAATAATAAAGTTATTAATTAAAACCCTTAAGTTGCAATTATTAACGTTTTTGCTTTAATTATAGCTATTATAAATATACTTATTGCAAATTTAAATTTAGTTTCCATTAACTAAGCTAATAAATTTAACTAAGCCGCTAAATTTAGCTAGGCCGCTAAATTTAAATAAGCTAATAAACCCAATAAGTTTATTAAATAGGTTGCTAAACTTAATAAATTCATTAAATAGGCTGCCAAACTTAATAAGTTTACTAATTAAACTGCTAAACTTAATAAGTTTATTAATTAAGCCAGCAATTAAGCTACTAAACTTAATAAGTTTATTAACTAAGCCGGTAAATTTAATAAATGGAATAATAAAAATGAATAATAAATTAATTAAGACTAAGAACTCTTAAAGAAAAAGTAATTATAAGATTATTTAATAATATTAAAGCATATAAGGATATATGCATTTTTTAAAGGTTGAGCATATTGGGGGATAACTAAGCACTCCCCTTTCATTTAATACATTATACCTTCCGTAGCTTGCCTAGCATTAGCTTCTTTTAATATACATAGATACTTTGCAAGATACTTTAATTAAATTGGCTGTCAGCAACCCCATTTGGTTCCCTAATCTAGTTCTAGAAGCCCTTGTGTATTTCGTTACAAATCCGCTACCCCCTTACGTCACAGGCGCCCTTTCTCAAGAAACAACACCCGGAGGGCCTGTAAGAATCTAAAAATGCCAGGAAGGTGCGGAGTAGACTTATAAGGTATTCTTACAGGGCCAAATCCACGGCCAGATCCTAATACTCATGAGGACACTCCGCCGACCCCCAACGCTACCTCGGGCCTTCGTGGCGCCCTTTCTCATAGTTCCACTCATCATGGTCGAATATTCATTTGCGAGAGTGTGACCCTCGAGAATCTTCATGGCCACAACCCAGCGACTCAGACACCTCCCCCACATAGATCGTCACGTAATGGAGTTGCTGATGCTGCCGCTTGTCCAACTGTTACTGGGATAACTCGTGCATTTGACGAGCGGGATCCTAGGTTGGTCGCCGCCCGCACCGGTCAAGCTATCGCTGTTGCTGTTTCCACCACGCACTCCTACACTGCCGTTGTTGCTGCGGTCACTGCAGCTGAGGCATTTGCTCTTCTTGCAATGGAGGACCCCCGTTACCAGCTCCCTCTTCCATCCGACCAGTTAAAAGATCGCTATAGGCATGCAATTGATATTGCTACTAACACTGCTGTGGCCGCCAAGATTGGCTTTCCATCTACTTCACGTGACTGGGTGTACGCGGTGGTCGTTATCGTGGCGTACTGGGCGTTGGTGACTGTTTTGTGGGGGGCGATTAAGGTCGTGGCAGCCTTGATCGTGATTTATTCGCAGCAGTACTAGCAGTGAATCTGTGGCAGCTAAGGCCGTCAAATGTTCTGCCGGGGGGGGGGGGCAAGAAGAAAAAGGAGGTGACTATGAGTAAGCATGGCCTTCCCTCATATTGTGGTTCAGGAAGTCTCACCTCGGCTTGGGTACTCTTGAGCTCATGCGTCTAGTGATGATGATGATGGACGATGGAGACGATGGCGATCTTGGCCTTCGCGGCCAGGATAATCAAGGCGGAGACCGTCTGGGCGAGATCGTGGGTCCACACAAACATGGACGAGATATTTCTGCTTTTCTCTTTGAAACAGGATATTTGCAGTATAAAACAACAGATGCTACACGATCTATTAAAGTATACCTTTATCAGCCTTAGTTTAAGAGAAAGTACATAAGTTGCTTGCTAGGCTAAGGCATTTCTAGATGGTAATTTACTAGTCATTTAGATCATAGGGGAAAAGTCTTGTTATGTTATGATAGTTGGGAGGAAAATTGGGCAGGAAAGGAATAGAAACAAAGTATTAGAGACCACAGACCTTCATTGTTTTCTCATCTAACGCTAGGTCTTTAAGCGTTTAGCACTGTATGATGAAGGGACCACATACAGCTTTGTCTGTACACGGATTAAGAACGAAACCACTTGGCACATATGAATAAAACATCGGAATGATCCATCGGTCACAATGCGGACACTTCTGACCTCTGTTTCTCATTCCCTCTTACGCACGCATGATATCTTCCCAGACGCCAGGAGCGGTTGACATTTGGTATATATTATAAATCTCTTAAAATGCTATTGTTAATATTCTTTAATTCTTTTACAATTTTATATAATAAACTTATTTCCCTCCTTAAATTAATTCCAACATCCATTCCAGTTAATTGTTATAAATATATATATTTATGATATGCTAATGTTATCTTGAACTTGCTTAAATAATATTTCTTCGGCTTACATATAACGCCAACCAGCCCCCTTCCAGGCTCATGCTGCTAGGCCTTGGACAGGCGCCGCTGCCGTCTTGGAACGTATAATATCCTTGCGCCGTACCCTGCATATAGGTGTTTTATTTACCTATCTCTTTAAATAGCCCATAACCACCTTCGCCTTAATCGCACTTCTCTCATATACCACGAGTTCCTAATCCTGGCAGCCTAGGCGTGCCGGATCTGATTTAGAAGATGGATGTTGCCCGCCTGTCCAGCTATCCGAGCTTGTCGAAGGAGTGAGTTGGTCGAAAAAGTGTTGGGCCAACGACAGCGCCAAGTGGGCAGCTCCTCTTCTACGCCTTCCCCCGTCGCCTAGTATGGATTTATATCAAAGCCATCCTCACTGCCCACCTGTGGTCAGATGCATAACTCCCTCCTTGCTGTGAATCAGCTCCCTCGTTATCCAAGAGCACCTCTCGGATCCTAAGGCGCATACAAAAAGATCTACACAAGCTATCTGCCACAATGGTCGGAGCCAATTATGTACTCATGTAGATACTGGAGATTTCCCGGGCAAGGAGGGCAGGGGCGGGGAGATTCAATCATTCTATTTGTGGAGTCTTGGCATTATGTTACATGCCTGTAGACGAGACTATGGAGTTGTTGATTCAAGGCGTCTATGAGCTGATCTAGACATGTAATGTATTTGCACGTCTTCTACCCTCAGATTGAGAGCCCTAACCGCAATAAGTTATCCGATAGAGCTTAGAAAAACCTCCAGAGTGAATCAGGCCCTTTTGTCTTCTTGAACGCCCCATACAATCTACACAAGGGGTAAAGCACCGCGAGTACGAGCACCCAGTTAAGCCAGTATACCCAGAGGCTGTCAATCCCCACAACCTTGTCACCGATCGGGGGATTGGTCCACCCCTTGTCGTGCCCGAACCTGGGAAGCCAGATGAGCCCGGTGGCGAGGAGCAGGACCTGGTGCGTGATGTAGAAGAACAGAGCCGAGGTCCCGTAGACAAGCAGGGGGTTCAATACCGTCGAGGCCACGACTGCCGGGAGGGCCCCGAGGAAAGCAAGCAGCAAGAGGCTGAAGCCGATGCCGTACGACCAGAATGCCACGTCAGGGGGGTACTTGACGAGGTAGAAGAATGACTGCCAAGAGACGAGGTAAGGGTTGGCGTCTGGATTGGCCTCATGCTCTGGCATGTGGAGGCAGTCTTTGGAGAGGTTACCAAATTGCAGCACGCGTGTCAGGGTGAAGACAAGCAAGAATGCCAAGGCCCCCATGATATTGCCGACTGTGAGGACTGTCTTGGTCCATGGCCTAGCGAGGACGACGCGGCCGTAGAGAAGGCCCAGGATTGCGAAGGACACCCAGGCCAGCGGTGGATAGCCGGAGACGAAACCACCTGCGATGAAAGGGTGGAACCATACACGGAACCAGTTGCTTTGCGGCGGGCTCATCGCAGCTGCGAGATCATGCGTGCCCTCTGGTGATTTGCAGTGAGCCCCAGTGGGAGACAGCCACAGATTCCACCAGGTCGTGACCACCGCGAGGACCAGCAGCATGGCATTGTGGAAATGCCACGAAACATCGGAGGCACGCATGATCTTCCTGTCGGGGGCAATGTCCTCCTCACCCCTGCGGTCGGCAAGCAAAGGCTCGCTGGCGTCATCCTTCTTCGCATCCGGCAGGACCTTCAGCAGGCCAAATGCTAAGGCCTCCTCGGTCCTCGAGATGAGAAGCCACAGCAGCCCGGCCAGGAGGTAGTCCACCGCCAGGGCGAACAGCACGCCGTTCATGAACCAGAACTTGCCCAGGGTGAACACGAGCCCTATTGGGACACAAATGAAGGTGAGCACCAGGGCCCGGGCGAAGAAGTGCTGGACCATCCTGCCTGCGGACCAGCCCAGGGCCCTACGGGACCTCCCAAAGTAGACGACGCCCATGCCGAGCAGGAAGGTGAAGCCTGATGCGCAGAGGTGGGTGAGCGAGCGGATGATGTAGGCGACTGGCCGGTTCCAGCGGCGCACCGGCTCCCCGCTGTCAACCTCACCGTTGATGGCGGTCTCGTGCTCCCAGGGGCTCAAGGCGAGGGTGTTGTGATCCAGGGCCATGAGCACCATCATCAGGCCCCGCAGGAGGTCGGGCGCGAGGGCTCGAGCAGCGGACCCGGAGGATGTGGTGAGCTTTGAGGACCCATTGTGGCTGGGTTCCTGGCTATTCTGCCTCGACACAGACCCGTACGGTAGCCGTGGGCTGTTTGCAGCCGGGCTGGGAGCGGCCTCTTCTGCCTGTGTCTCTTGTTGAGGGGGTTGTTGACGTCGTGCAGCGTCGTCATTGTCCGTCAGTGCGTCATCCTCAAAGCTGGTCTCCTGTACCGACGCCTCGGGTAGAGTGCGAACAACATCCTCCATCGTTGGTGGAGGCGGGAGAAAACAAATATCCAGCGACGCTGCTTAAACAGTCACGCATGAGGATATGTAGAGCTGGGCTGGTAAGAAAGCACCTGGAGCCTCCCTGTGAGTTGAGCCACCTGCTGCGGCCAAGCTGTTTCGCCTCCCAGTGGGGTCCTGCGGCTTGAAGCAGTTCGCCTGACGCTGTAGTGCTGGCGCCAATCGCTGCAGGCGATAACCGTCATCGGCCCGGACCAGATGCTCCGGCTTATTACTTCAACTGCTGTCTTGCGTGCTGTACCCTCGATGAATGCAGTGAGTGAGCGAGGGTCTGCGACCAAAGTCAGACCGGAACCTGGTGATGGCTCCTTGCAGCCGGCAGCCGGCGATGGAACATGCTGTGGGCTACTTGTTTTAATTTCTATGGAATTCGTTTTTAAAGACAACATGGAATGTTGACAGATGCAACCTAGTGCTGCAACCTGCCAAGCCCACCCACGACAGGCGCAAGGAGAATCGGGAACCAACGTTTGACAACCAACAGCCAACAGCCAACAGACACACCAACTGCTCTAGCTGCATGTACCACCATCACTACACATGTGGAACACGAGACAAGCCCAGGAGGCAACGATTGTAATAAAAACTCTCACGCTGCGCACTGGCCAACCACTCTTGCCCACCCGTTCGCCTGAAACCGAGAAACTCAAAGCTCCTGGCCCTTGAGCTCCTGCTCCGTCCAGTCCCACAGCTTCTGCGCCAGCGCATCGTCCTTGACAAACGGACCACGCCGCCCTCCCGTCAGGTCAGCGACCGGGAAGTACATCTCGCCAGACTTGATGTCCCCCTTGGGAGCCGTCGCCCCCCACAGCTGGTTCAGCGCGCCCTGCTGCACGGTAGTCAGGAGGAGGTTCGCGATGGGCATCAGCCCCTTGGCCCACCAGTAACGGTCCTGGACGTGCCGCGACAGGTTGGTCGTGACGACGCCCGGGTGGATCGCCGACACCGTCCACGTCGGGTGCAGCTTGGCCAGCTGCCGCGCGAAGAGCGCGTTGGCGAGCTTGCTCTGCCCGTAGCGCGTCCACGTCCCCATCGGCTCCTGCTGCGTCTTGAGCGTGTCGAACTCGATGCCGTCCTTGGGGGCCATCGCCGTGGCCGCCGACGTGAGAACCACCACCCGGACGTCGGACCCAGGCTCGGCCGCCGTCTTGTCAAGGACCGGGGCCAGCAGCTTCGTCAGCAGCGCGTGGCCGACGTGGTTGGTGCCGAACTGGACCTCGTAGCCGTCCTTGGTCAGGCCTGCGTCCGAGGCCATGATGCCCGCGTTGAGCAGCAGGATGTCGATGCGCTGCGACGCCTGCGTGAAGCTGCGAGCTGCGCTCTTGATGGACTCGAACGAGGACAGGTCCAGGCTGAGCGACTTGAGGTTGGCATTGGGCACCTCCTTCTTGATCTCTTTGATCGCCTGGTCGGCCTTGTCGGTTGTCCTGGACGTGAGCCAGATCTCCTTGGGTCCGTGGCGGGCGAGGTCAAGCACCGACTGCAGACCCAGACCACTGTTGGCGCCGGTGACGAGGATGGCCTTGCCGGTCAGGTCGGGAATGTTCTTGGCAGTGAAGCCTCCGCTGCTAAATGGCCACATCTTGAGGGTCTTTCAGGCTGCAATATTTGATTATCTGGTAGGTTCTTGCTAGACGACAATTGCACTCGATAACAGAGTCGAGGAGGGGAGTTTCGCTGGCGCAGGCGATAACCGGAATGACGGAATTCACACAACACCCCGGCTCAAGCTTACCATCGAAAACCCCTGGGTCCAATCCCGACCCTGACGAACCGGCTCGTGCTGGACCCGACAGAGCTAAAAGTTTCGGGCGCATTCTGACAAGCGGCCATTCTTTATTTGCATGCTGGAGCTTTGGTAGAGGGGGCGGTATCTGCCGCAACAAGGACCGGCACATAACAACAATAGTATTTGACCCGTTCGGGCGCATCAATGGGCTTCAGTCGGAGTAAACATCATGCCTCCGAGGGCATGGATCGCCCCTACGCCGGAATGGAAGACGTTAATATATCTTGTTCGAGATGGCACGCTTGAGTGGCCTTCCCCTGCAGAAATGCCTGGTACGGACATCGGAGGTTTCGGTAATCCGAAGGCTGGCAGGTCATTTCACGCAGCGTCCTGGAGCTCCACTCAACATTGGGGGCACGCGGCGGCAGGTCCCGCAACTGCGTCTCAGTACGAGATCGCATCGGCAGTGTGTCGTCATCCCCACCAAACCCGGCCCACAGCCTCGGCGACGACAACATCATACCACTGATATATAAAGCAAGACGGGCCAGCGCCCCTTTTCCCATCATCTTGTTCTAGCTTCTGGTTTCTGGTAAACCTCGCATCTCACAGATTCTCATCATGACGACCCACATACCAGCCTTAACTTTACCCGACCGGCTGTTCGCCAGCCCGGCTGCCTCGATCCTCACGCCCATCGTCCTAGGCAGTGCAGTGGGCGTTGGCGTCTCCAGTAGGTTGACACCTTGATTCTGGGCTCCTCAAAGGCAGTCTCAAGCGTGCGCTGACAGTCCTCCAGACAAAGACACCAAGACCACATACATGCGCCTGCGCCAACCACCTCTGTCGCCGCCAACATGGGTCTTTGGTCCTGTGTGGACCGTCCTTTACGGTGTCATGGGCTACGCTTCTTATAGGGCATACACCAATGGCACCAGTCCTTTCAGCACTCCTGACGTGATCGCCACCACGAGGCACGCCGCCACGGTATACTCGGTCCAGCTTGCCCTCAACCTCATCTGGACCCCTCTGTTCTTCGGCCTGAAGAAGCCTGTCGCAGCAACCGTGGACATCCTGGCCCTGCTCGGCACCAATGCGTACCTGACTTACCTGTGGAGCACGGTGGACCAAGTCTCAACATACTGCCAGATCCCTTATCTGGGATGGTTGGGCTTCGCGACCTACCTGTGCGCGGGCATCGGCCACGTGAACAACTGGGATCTGAAGGCGAAGGAGCCCAAGTCTGAGTAGGTGGGACGGCAAAACTCACGTCATGGTCAATTTTATCGACAAGGAGACGACCGGTGGTTATTATCTAATTAATCAATACAACAAATACCCAAGTCTGCTCTCAAGACCCAGCCCCGTCACACCCGCCTCCAGCTCGTCGAGCTTCTCTGCCAGGCCACCCCTCACGCCGCAATCGTGAGCGTCGAATGTAGCCCGCAGCTCAGGCGACGAGTCGGGAGTCAGTGTCTGCTTCGGCTCAGCGTTCGGCGTCTTCCGCTTCCTCGATATCTCCCTGACGTTTGCCGCGCCGTTCAGCGACAGGCCGGGCACGAGCTGGGCCAGCTGGGACCCTGCCTCCCCGACAGACTGCGAGATGCCGACGAAGCTGACCCCGATAAATGGCTTCACGGGTCTGGGCCACATGAGCTTGTGGCGGCGCAGGGACTTGACGAGCGCTCCTAGCAAGAAGGTATCGCATCCGCGCGAACATGGCGCCTCGTCCTCCTGCAGGGCGTCGACCGTCTCGTAGATTACGTCCAGCGCCTGCCGCACCAACTGCTGTCTCTGGCTGTCGATTTCCCCTGCAATATTCATCAGCGAACAAACAACACAATCATTCGCACGCGCAAAAAGTCCTTACTGATCAAGCCGTCTCGGAGCTGCAAGCCCAGGCTCCGAATCGGACCATTGCTCTGCAGTATCGCCACGTTGGACGCCCTCCTGAATACCTCCTGTTGGCGGAAGACATAAGACACATAGATCCACAGCACCAGGTCCCTCCCATACTTGGTTGGGAGCGCCCCCTCCAGCCCCTCAAACCACCGCTCGGCGTAAACCTGCACAGCCTCATGGAACTTGAAAGCATCCACAAACACCGCGATCTTGGCCAGCAGCTCCAGGTCGACCGCCCTGGGCACCTTGCGCCCGCGCCCGTGCACCGCGTCCATGACCACAATCACGGCCTTGGGGTCATACCCGCCCAGGGTAACGTGCACCCTTCCATCCGCCTCGATCGGATTGTCATACCGGAACTTGTTGCGAAAGTGCTTGGATGCGAGACTAAGATGCCGCGACGAAACCTTGAGGCGCACCTCGGGCGCGGAGGCAATGGATGCGTATGTGTTTGGCGGCCGCGAGGTGCCGCGCAGGATCCCGGCGTAGGCGGACGATGCGTCGGAATTAGGGGCCGCCTCTTCCCATGGTGCGAACGACTTGGACGGGGTGGGGATTATGATAAGGGTATCCGCATCGGGATCAACCTCGTATAGTCTGAACATTTTGATTAATTGGCGCGCTTAAGGACTTGAGTATATGGAAAAGATTGGTTAAATCCGGGGTTTTGAGAGGAGGATGGCGAGGGGCGTCGACAAAGAGGACTCTCACTGCCCACAAGTTGACAGCACTTTGGGAGAAGAAATGCGCGCACGCAGCGATCGCCGACTTGGAAAATGAGAGCGGAGATATTTCGATATTCGCGGCAATTGAAGTTGAAGCTGAGGTGTGATAGATAGCGGGATTACGTGAGTAAGTCACCACATCACGCAATACCAAGTGTGAGGCTTGGACGGACGGGCTTAGCTGCCCTCGTTCGTCTTAGCTGACACTTGACTGATGTCTTTTTACGACTGACTAATTAAAGAACACAACTCACGCTAGTCCCAAGCTGTTGGTAATCCTGCTGGGAACGAAGAAAATGAATGAAGAAATTGCCCCCCTCCCCCCTTTCCTCCGTCGCTGATAAGCCGCAGCGTGCAGTGATTGCGCAAAGTCAATGGCCGGGCGGCTAGCCTGGTCCCCTCCACCACACCACAAACACATGCAGTCGTCTTTACATGACCACTTCAGGGGATACTCTGAAGGAGGTATCATGCCCCCATTCTCCTCACAAGCGGTCGCACGTCCCGCTAGCCAAGCCTCCCCGTCGGCTCGTCGGCGATCTTCCGTATAGAGCGGTTGACCGTTGTTGACATCTTACTCGATGTTGTGGGGTTCGTCAGGTCTTGATTCCTACTCAGGCTTGAGTGGTGTAGCTTCGGATAATGCTCGTGGCCGAGATCCTTTACCATCCTCCTTTTCTTGAACCACTTCGTCAACATTAGTGACGACTGGCCGAACAGGCTCTGGTGGTGGTATCTGAGGGCGGCTGTGATCCTACACCCTCGCCCTGGTCTTCCTCGTTGTCACCACACTTCATGACGGCTGCTGGACATGAATTTGACTGTGGTCGTCAGACCTGGTTTCCTAGGGAGGCTCGACAGGCTCGACAGCTTTTGGGGGTGGGGGGTATTATTTGAGGGCGGCTGCGATCCTCTGTTTTCCTCCGCGCTCTCTGCATCCTCACGGCGACCGAGGCCGTCCGGAGGCCCAGTCTGGGACTGACTTGGTCAAGACTGATCGTTTCGCCGGATTTCTTGGCCTTGCGCCTCTCCTTACGCTTCTCGTTCGTGAGCTTGTTCGGAGATGCTGGCGAGGCGACTGGTCCGAAGATATCTGCAAAAGTTTCCTCCTTGTGTACCGGCAACACCTGATTCTGCGCCGAGCCGGAGCCGGAGGTAGGTTCAGTTGGGCTTGAGGGAAGGTCACTGTTTGGCCTACTCCTAAATGCGTAGCGTCACACCCGAACACGACAGACTGCCCCTTCACATTTGATAAGTGACGACCTATCCATAGATCGTGCAGGTGTCAGTTGGGGGCCGGTTGTGACAAGGCTTGACTTGGACCTGACCAGCCTTCTTGACTCTGTGACCTCAAAGCAGTGAGCGTTTCCCTATGAAACATGTCCAAGCAAAACTTCGGGTACCAATCAATGGTCTGCATTGTCGAGCAATCCACACTCAGTCTTCACAGACTGGCATGCTGTTTGAGCAGCGTCTTCATAGACTCGTTGGAAGGAATCCAAGTGGCTGCCGCATGATTCTTCAAAACACAGGAACCGTTGGATGCCTCCATTTCTGGTGCAAGACAACTTAAGCCGAAGAGCACCGCGACTGGAGGACATAGCATAAACTAAAGACTGCGGCCCAGTATCTAGATGCTAATCCGGGGCCCGTCTCTGCCAGTTCCTAGCATAGACTTGCAAATAATCTGTTCTAGAAGGACCTTGCGAAAGCATAAATGATTTGAGACCGGAACATGCACGTGCTCAAGTCGCGGCATGGCTTGAGTGGCCTCAACCTTCCGCCAAGGTTTATCCTTTTTACCGAGTCGAGACTGCCAACTCAGAAGTACAAGGAGTCACGTCAAGCACTGAATTCCGACTCAGTCAATCGCCCATATCGGTGGTTGTGCCTGCCAAGCGATATGGAAGAACCTAGATATGGTGTCCCACAGTAACCCCGGATGATATTGCCTCATACAGCTTTGCATGGCAAATTTCTCGTGCTCGCAGTTGCAGTGCGTTGGCCAGAAACCGTGCTAAATACGTCGCAGCAAGGCAAGCGTAGATATCTACTCTTCCTCCTTGTTTTCCGCTCCTCCACAAGCGACACCGTGTTTTACGTTTTGATACGACTTTTCATTTAGGACACGCACGCTCTCAGCATGTTGCTTGCGGCCCGTCGTTCATCATGAGCTTTCTTGTTGTCGACGGTGTCGAGGTCATGGTACGTCCACCCCCTTGGTATGTTGTCGATCTTGGGAACCCACGACGGCATAGGCAGATGGCCCCCTACATTCCGGCCGGTGTTGAGATACTTGTTACTATGGCTCTTATAGACCAGAAGCTGTACCTGAGTCTGTTATGAATCAGCTCAGCGTTGAGAATTACATGCCTTACTTCAGCCTATTCTCAATTTGATAAGTCTAACTAATTGAATCCATAGGTCGCACATTACCACCATTCGTGAGTATCTTTCGTTAAGAGCCGAACTGCTCAGGATGTTCGACTAGAGTGGTATTGGTAGGTGCCGTCACTTGTATCTCAAGATTTTGTATTATGTAAGTTCAGAAATTGAAGCAAAGGCTCTAGGTTGATGGTCATGTTGAATTATAAGCTATCACCTAACCAGGTTGCGTATTTAGGTCTCTCAGATTCAGGAGCTGGAGGACCCAGGCAAGAAAGATGTCAGTGTCTACGTTCGATACCTACCTGCTCGTAAGTTTAAGCACACAAGCAGCTTCACTTGTGCTCCGGGGAAAGCTGAATGCGTTAGTTGACGGATGTTTTGTTCATCAGAGTGCATCGGTGTCTTCATGGACATACGTCTCATGCGGAAGTTTCACCAAATCATCTCTCCTGGTCTACTATCTCCCATTCGATCCCAAGATGTCCGGGTGGTGTCGAGCTTTTGTTGTCGTTACAATTGTGCTCATCGTCGCACTTACTCCAGCTGACATTTTCGCTTCCATATTTGCCTGCCAACCGACCCGCAGGGCATTCGACATCAGGATTGCGCATGGGAGATGTATTGATGAATCTTCCTCCCGTGTCACCACTGCCCTTTTGAACGTTTTTACCCACACATTTGTATTTATTCTCACCTTGTTTAGTGTTAAATGGATGCGTGTATTGGAGTCATAGAGGTTTGGATCAGGATTTGTGTTTGGAGTCGCGTCTTTGTAAGTTTGTCGAAGAGAGTAATAAAGCTTTGATATCCACAAATACACGCGCGCCGTCGATCTGACTGACCAAGATCAACAGAACTATAGTTTCATCTGCTATACATTGCACATATATTGTTCCTATGAAGGACTCCACAGATATCACTTCGGATATGCTAGAGACCACTCTTTGGATATACGTGACCCACTATTCTATTTGTTCTGTGGGCGGGTATGAATGCTAATTAGGTATGATTACATGCAAAGGCACCTCAAATTACTGGCGGCGTCCGGCATTATCGAGTCAAACCTTACCATTAAATACGGATAGATATACTTGAGTCCTTGTTTCCGAAGAACAAACAGCGATAATTCAGGCCCAGAACGAGACAACCCGTACTTTCTAATGGCCCGAAACATCGCCTGTGGCTGGTGAACTCCAGGGAGAGTTCTTGGGATGCTCGAAAGATTTATCAAGTATCTACAACTTCCAGTTGAGAAGTTGGAATACGTGGATCCTTCGTCCGCTTCTGATGGCGGGAACGTATGATGTAAAGCTACGCTTAAAACAAGGGAAATTGCTTGCTGAAGATTGTAAGCCTAAATGCCTACCTCAAGTAGTGAGACTTTGAATTCTAATACTCAGCAGGGTTTTGTTTAGCAGCATGGGTACGTCGAACACTGGAGACATCGCCTTACTACCAGACCCTAACTTCTTCAGGTTTTCACCAATGCTTTGAGCGGTTGCGTGTTAACATGTGAGCCCATAATCGAATCTGTACTGGACGGTATTCAACGTGCTAACATGATGGAGTGACTCTTTACGGTGGGGGACAGAATGTATGGGATGTTACTCTCGAAAGATATACCGAATTTCTGAAAGTACAACTCACCAAGAAAGCCTTCACTAAGAGAAACGATGTACTTACACCAGTTTCCGCAGTGGCTATATATCAGCAGTTGCGTCTACAGTCCAGCGGCGTTTTGCACTAAAGCCACATTGTTGCTGCTCATCGCTCGCGTCTTCTCGGTCAAGCCGATGATCTCCAGAGGTGTAAAGGTTTTCATTTGCACGCTGGCTTTGGCTTACCTTCCCGTCCAAGGTCTCAAGACCTTCATCTGCACTCCTATCGAAGCTTTCTGGGAACCAACATATATGGATGTCGAGACTGGGGAGAACCCTTACTGCCTCGACCAATTCCGGCTTTTCATGTGCGACATTTCGATTGCCATCGTCACCGATCTGATTATTCTTATTCTTCCAATCCCACTGGTCTGGGAGATGCGAGCACCTCGAAGGCAAAAGGTGAAAATGATCATCTTGCTAGGGGCTGGTGGTGCCGCGACCGCGGCGACAGTCGTCAGGGCCTACCTGAACACCCGATTCATGTATTCGAGAAGTATGTGTATTGCGTCAAAACACCCAGACTCTGACCCTGAATTTGCGGCCGCCTCCTGGATGTGATCTGACCTGCTCACCAGATGTCTCCGCCGACTTCGCCTTGATAATAATTACAACAATCCTCGAACTGTCCACCGGTTTTGCCTGTGTCTGTCTCCCGTCGGCGAAATTCATGCTCGACAGAGCCACGTCGTCGCTCGATCACCCTGATCAAAATTGATTTGGCAGAGAGAGACCAGCCGGCACCGATCGAAAACCAGGCAGCACGGTATCAACCTACTGGGAGTCGATTCGGTCCAAATTAACTACGACAACCCGACCTGGCAGCACGATAGCAGGGGGCCTCCAGTCGTCCAGAGCCTCACGGCCATGGAGGCGTGGGCGTGACATCGAGCTGGGATTCAGCAGCGAACCAGTCGTTTTCCAGAAGCGCCTCGAGTTCCCGAGCCTGAGGTCGACATCGGATGCGAGATCCTGCACGAGCCGAGGAGGTGGCCACCGAGGTCTGTCGGATGCGGAGTTTGCGCATTGCATGGAAGAGATTTCGTCTCAGAAAGGTGAAGGCGATGACTTGGCTGATAGCAGGAAAGACTCAATTATCAACTTGGAGACTGAGCAATGACCTGTATCGGGCAGACCATAATGGTGTTGTATAAGTATCTGGACCAATGTGTGTCATTGATAATTCTTATGAGGAAGGAAGATTCATGAACACATACTTCCTCTGATGTTCGGCAAAGTACGGAGCTTGCACTGTCAAACAACAGGGTGTACCTTACCTTACACCAACCTGTTGCCATTGCAATCTTCTATTGCTTAACTATGAATCTACTGACACCAAAAAAGGAGAAAGGGGTCATCCGAGAGTCCGAAGCGCCATCGACCTAGACCGCTGCCGAGGAGCGGATGGTTTCGGCCGGAATACCCGTGAGCTACTACCCAGACGCCCTACATTCCACATGACTTACCGCAAGGGTAGCGGTACTTGTTCGTTACAGGAAGGCCTTCATATTTAAAACTAACCCCTCATGCGCTTTGGAACGCCTCCTCTCAAGGCAAGGTGAGCCAGAAGAAAGAGCCAGATTGCAGTACAGACAACTTTTGTAAAGTACGACAAAATGGCCGTATGGACAGCGGTTCTGAAATTGCTCCACGGCAATACTGCGGTCGTGTCCCTGGCGCTCTTGCTCATCAGTCTTTGCATCTATGCAGCGTTCTCTCATATCCAAAATAGGAGAAAACTCCCACTCCCTCCAAAGCCGCGTGGTCTTCCCGTGCTCGGTAACACGACCGATTTTGTTCGAGCAGCAAAAAAGAACGAGATACACCTACTCCTCCAGAAATGGGCAGAGCAGTACGGAGAGATCATGCGAGTGCAGGTGGGCCCCATGACGAGTTATTATTTAAATTCTGATCAGGCTGTGAAGGTGAGTGCTCCTCGACATTGTCGTTGTTTCACTCGAAGAGCGGCCAACTGATTCCTGTTCCAACCGCCAGGCACTATTCGACAAGTCTTCTGCTCAGACATCAGAACGACCAAGATGGATCGTCAGCAATGAGCAGCTTTGCAATAAATGGAATGTTCTACTACTTCCCGCCAGTGACGCCAGGTGGAAGGTAAGTCGCGATACAAACGCCAAGCACAGGCAGGCATTAAAGAGAAAAATAGCTTCAGCGGAAGCTGGTGTACCGTATGTGCTCGCCCTTGTCACCCAGAATAAATGCACGAGCAAGCTGACGAGAGACACAGATTCCTCCATTTCGAGACAGCGTAAGGTCCTCTCACGTCCGTCCTGTTTTCTCCTATTTCACACCAATTCACATTTTTTGGAGTGCTTGGGCAGGGAGACACTGGAAAGCAACTGGCCTCTTACGCAGCAATGGCTAACGCGGCAAGATGAATAGAAAGTTTTTGCATGAGGTCGCTCACGATCCTCATGCCGGCACAAACTACCAAGATTTGTGGACACAAGTTGGGCGTTACACGTATAGTAACTTTGCCATGCAGGCCTTCGGTTTCAGTAGTACGTTGTGATTTTCAAGACGCGATGAAACTTCTACGAAGACCCTAGTCGACTCAGCTGCCGACGAGAGGATCCAATACATCCATGAGTCGGGTGCTCTCCAAATATTCGGCACGCTCCCCGGATCACACATTGTTGATATTCTTCCGATACTTGATCGCCTGCCTCTATGGCTGAAGCCATGGGAACGAACCGCTCGAGCTCATTTCCTCGAGGACCTCCAGTGGTGCAGGAAACACATGGTCCAGGTGCAAAAAGAGGACAACCCGCACAATAACTTTTCGATGCTTAAACGAATTCTAGCGGACGAGAAGCGTCTGGGCTTCTACAGCAACGAAGAGGCCGCGTTCCTCAGTCTCCAGCTGATTATATACCAGTCGTATGTCTACATGGTCCTTTCTGGAGGCAATGATGATCTACCCAGAGGTCTTGAAGCGTGGACAGGAAGTCATGGATGCGACGGTGGGCGACAGAGTCCCGGAGTGGGAGGACCTAGACTCCATGCCTTATGTCAGGTGCCTGATGAAGGAAGTGTGGCGCTGGAGACCTCCAGTCGCCCTTGGGCACCCCCACACGACGACCCGGGAGCTTGTGTACAAGGGCATGCGAATACCCGCGGGCTCGAGGCTTCACCTCAACGCCTGGGCAATCCACCACTCGCCAAGTCGCCACTCTGACCCGGACGTCTTTGATCCGAACCGGTATGAGGGCGATGCCCTTACCAGCCAGCAGAGTGCCAACCTACCCGACCCGACCAAGCGCGACCACTTTTCCTTCGGGGCTGGAAGGAGGATTTGCCCTGGCTTGCACGTCGCAGAGAGGTCGCTCGGTGTTGCTATCATGCGGGTCCTGTGGGCGTTCGATGTCGGGAGTGCTCCTCGGGCGAAGCTGCCTCTGAACCCGAGTGACTACCGCGGCTTCATGCCGGCTAATCCAGGAGTGGACCTGCCCGTCACGCTCACGGTGAGGAGTGAGAAGAAGAGACAGATCATAGACGCGTACTGGGCGGCTCAGCAGGCGAAGGGATACTAGAGATACCCGAACGAGGACGTGTGGCGGGATTGTGGTCAACAAACAACGGGTGTCTCCATGAATATCTTGCTCAAGTGGCATGCGACATGCCCAGATAGGCGAGAGGTGACGTCGGAGTCTCGGCCAAGCGAGCCATCTTTGGCAAGATGAAGCGGTTGAACCGCCGACGATCAAGTAACATGTCTCTTATTCTGAACTTGCGATCGTTGATCTGTCGTCGGACCTTGATCAAACCTGGTACGTGCATCGCAAGTTCTCCCTAGTAATGGAAAGCCTCATTCCTCTCAGAGAAGCTTCTGATGGATGTAGAGTCTGAAGTACTCCGAGCTTTTGCGAACAAGCGCGAGAAGACTTGTCGCGTTTATTTCCTTTACCTGCGTGACGAAATTAACAATGTCGACATGCCTTGCACGCCCATTTATATCCTAATATCAAGTGCTCGGAAATCTCCCACTCGACCCAAGACCTATTTGATGAAAGGGGCATGATCGAAGAATTTGACCGTCCCTGGTGAGACGTGTGGTCCCTGGATTTAGTTGTCACGTTTCTCACAAATCCAAGACAACACCCTTAAAAAAAAGCGGGAAGGGAACGAGCGGAAGCTCAGGGGCGCAAGTGGCTGAGGCAGCTGGACATATGATGTTCGCTGCTTCTTACGTAAATATTAGTGTTCTTTCGCGATTTGTTGCTACAATAGATAGCAGACTTCCGCGGTGAGGATGGCAAAACGATTCTTGCCAGTCAATACGCATAGAGTTCTTAGCGGTGGGCTTCAAGAAGGGGCGGGGGTTCTAAATGTCACAATTTTCATGCATCACGATGGCTGGTATTCTGGTACATCGATGATCGTCTTCTAGGAGAGGGCTAAAAACGGTCTGCGGTTCGGTGCGATGCGGTAGTTCCCGGCCTCGCAAAATGCCTTGGTACACTCCAGCATACCTTGCAAGAGACGTCATGAGAACGTCGGTTGCGATTCCTGAGCATGTCTTACCGCGCGAAATAATTGGGCGAGGCTAGGCGGGAAGTATGCTTCCCACAGGGACCCCACGCAGAGCGCATTCCGGGGCCGAGAAGGGGAGCTCATTTTGAACATGTTTCAGTTTTTCACCAGAGACATTGCTGTCCGTTTAGGAAACCGGGGCTTCCAGGGATGCTTGACGATCCTTTTCTGGAAGGGATGTTCGAAGACACCTGGGAAAATTAGCAATTGTATCACCAGCCCAGAGTCAGTGTTGGGAGGAATGCTACTCTCGACGATGAGCAACTGGCCTGGCTTGAGCACGTCAGATGGCACGACGATGAGAGGGAGGCTGGACAGGAGTTTATAAACAAGTCGAGTATTAAGATGCCATGAACATTCTCTCATGAGATATCCGTCTCTCATCATCATCGCGCCCTCGCCATAGTTCAATCCTCCACACTCAACCCTCGTCTTCAGGGTCTTGGGGACATATTCTAGCCAAGCCTCAAACGCACCAGTTTAAAACACTCTGTTCCGGGAAACCGTTACGATGAAGGCCTTTACAGCTATCTTTACCATTGGAGCCATACTTGGCACTACCCTGGCCACACCTGTTAACCTAGGTGACAAGGCTGTTGAACGGCGCGACGTCGAGGTCGATGACGCCGATGTCGACAACGCCGATCGACAAGGCATCCTTCCGCCTCTCCTTCCAACACCTCCGTCACTCCCATATATCCCTGTGCTTCCGACGCTACCACCTGTCCCGACTCTGCCAACTCTTCCAACTCTTCCGACTCTGCCAACTCTGCCGACTCTTCCGACTTTGCCAACTCTTCCCACTCTACCACCTCTTCCAACTCTACCCTCTCTAACACTACCAACACTTTCACCTGTCCCTGGGTTCCCGACTCTGCCACCTATTCCTATTCCTACAACCCCTGCTGATCTGCTTACCTCCTTGAGAATTGTTCTGACGCAGATCATAAACATCCTCACCGCCATCAGTAAGCTCCCGTACTCCTGAATTCCAAGTCATTAAATACACCTACTAACAAGACCCATCAGGGAGTACCCTTCCCGACAGCGGTGGTCTTCCACCTCTGCCACCTCTGCCCCCTCTTCCCACGCTCCCCGGCATCCCAAATCCGCTTCCGGTGGTCCCGACTCCGGGTGTTCCCACGTCCCCCGAAGCCCTTCTCTCACAGCTGCAACTGCTCCAGTCCGGGCTCGGATCACTCCAGACAATATTCAGCAACCCGCCCACTGGAGTGAGCGCCGACCAGCTGAAGGATGCTCTGTCTATTCTCGAGCAGATCCAGACTCAGACCTCACCTGTCATCGCCCGTATCTTAACTCTCCTCGGTAGGTAGCCTCTGTTTCGTATCATGACAGGTGCAGAGAAACTAACAGCTTTCAGGTTCCGGTGGTCTACCCCTTACAGGAATTCCTGGAAATATCGATGGTCTGGTAGCAGCCGCTGGCGCTATCCTCAACTTTTTCGGCACCATCTTCGGGATCCTTCCAGGCATATATCTAGGCCAGGGAGGCTTCAGTGATTTTGGCCGTTAGAACAAGCAAGCACTGGCATTCCTATCTGGCAGGCCCCTTTTACAGCTGGCAGCTGATATGCCTGACCTCTGCGTGGACGGGGTGCCCAGAAAAGAATCAGTCTGAACTGTGGCCTGCCCTATGAAACGATCTGCTTCTAAATCATGCGGGACGATACATTGTGATGAAAACTTCGAAGTGCCGGGATTCGAGACATCGAGGTTTATCTAAGTTTCGAGCTTTCGTAGGTGGCACCAAATCCTGGAAGCGAGAAGCGAATGTGTTCTGCCTTATTGTGCCTTTCATATACCAAAATTTGTCAATTCAAAACCAGCTTCACGCTCAAGCCATACGTTGAAGCTACCACCTGATTCTCAAGGCCACGCATGTTCTAAGAGTAAAATTGACAACCACGCAAAAGCCATAAACTCACCTAAGTGGTTCGGTTAGCCAATATTTATAGACTTTCGATGTTTGTTTCAGAATTATTGAATTTGCTCTTAAAATAATATCGCTATATCTATCTAGTTGTATCACATGGGCTTCGCTGTAGACAAGCATCCTTCGTGATAGAACCGACTCATGGGCCATTGCGTGATCCTTGGAGTGGAAGTTCGACGACGAGCATTTGAGAAACAGTCCAAATTTGTGCCTATTTTTACATGATGCAGTAAATTTTGATGACACTACAGTCGATATCTATATCTGGGTGCCGCAGAGCCAAGCTCGTTGTCAAATAAAGCAAATCGAAAAGGTTAATACATGGTTCAAGACAATTGCTGCCCCCCCCCCCCTCAAAACCCTCGCCCCAAACCCCACACACACACACACGCAAGGGAACAGATATGAATGCTTCAAACATCGGATGTCTACTGCAGGCAACATAAGTCAGTGAATGTCTGATTTCTACAAGGTACATCAGACAGTGCTCATAATATTCGAATCGTTTCCCTGCCCTTAACGTGGAGTCGGGCCGTGGATACGCATCAGGAGTCAATGTTCCAAAAGAGGAAGTCGCGTAAGGCTTCAGGGCACGAGCCACCCCCGCGGTTGCCCCATCTGTCTGCAATAGAGTGCGTTGATCAGCCGCAGTGGGGGGGCGGGGTGGGAGCCCAGCTTGCTTCCATTGCTTCGTGTTGGCATCTCTCCTTCTCCACCCACATCTTGAACCGGCGTGCTCACCAGCAATCACCCACACCAGGTATTCTCGACAACCTCTCACATGGCCCCTTGTGTGCGTGTAAGGGAGGGTGCAGGTAAACCACGCGGTACACAGGATCGGTCTGACAGTGTGTACTGACGGTTGCACAACCACAACCATCATGACGCAACAGCAATGCGGTGCAACACAGACACATGTCCTCCCAAGAGCTCGCCCCGCCTACAGTGGCATTTGCTTGGATCCTTGGAGGACTTTTTCGCACGATTTCTGTTGCAGGACTTGTCCCAGGACTTTTGCAGGACTTTGCACCCCGGTGGCAACTCTGCGAATCCGGCTGCCTGGCATTAGACTCCCTAACGCACTGGGGAGATAGCCGTGACCAGCTGGGCACTTACTGACCAGAAACTTCTCCGTCATCGGTAATCAACGTCTGATCAACAGCTCGGCAGGCCAGGCACACTCATCCTGTGGTCCTTTTGCAGCACAATCCGTGGGGCTCTGATGGAGGCGAGGGTTGACGCCTCGTGCCGGGGTCGCCCCAGTCGCCACGTTGTAGTCTCTTTCAGCCGCAGCAGTCTGACACCAGCTGAGCCCTTGGAGGTGCGGAAGCTGGTGATAGCTGCACTTTGGCGGCTCTCTTGATGCCTTGGTGCCGAAACTCGAAATGCGGCACCCTCTACCGACGACGACCAAACATTACGACCTGTCACTGGGCCCTGATCGGCGACCGCGTCCAGGATGGTGTTACCGGGCTCAACCGGGGTTCACGACATGTGGGATGCGCCCATGCGCCGTGGCTGTGGCTGTGGACGGTCTGACGGGGTGTGCTCAAGTCATTCTGAAGCGTCATCACCTACCGCCCAGCGCCCTCGCACTTGTCGTGATCGCCGGGCAGGGAACACCACGGCGGGCAACAGGCAGACAGGCGCCAGGAATCCACGCCGTCTCTTTGTGAAGGCCTTGAGGACAACAGGACGTCAATGAGTGTGGGGGCTGAGTCGTCGGCGCAAGACGGAGGCACCGCTTCCTGGTAGCAATGTGAAGGATTTTTGGGCTCTGAAGGCTTGAGACGGGCCTGGAACCAGGTGCTGGCCGTTGCCAGGCCCAAGTACCGTCGTACACATTACGCCTCACTGAGCAAGCTTACGCCCAGCCATCTGCACATCCCTGATTCAGACGAGCGATGCGTGGCTCTTCGGGCATTCCCATCACAATGCCTGTCGAAGCGACGCAGTGCCACTCTGTGTGGCATTAATTGTTCAATTGCCGTTTTCGGCCTCGCGATGCCGCTATTCCTGTGGTGGAGGGGAGGGGCTCCAGCTCCACAAGGAGCGCGACCTCTCCCTTGTGACTCGATTCGCCGACTCGTACAGTACATACGGGGTGGCCACTCTGCCGCTGAGCCATGTCGACAATTAATCACACACTGGGTCGCGCCGCGACTCGACAAGTAGGATTCTCCACAGTGGCATCGAGCCATTGTCGAACCAGATGAAAAGCCATTCTCAACTGGGCAGTGCCTGCAGGTCCTGTCGTGCGCTGCATGTCTGTCGCGCAGCTACCCGGTGCATTAGCCCGGCGTCCGCACAGGTACCCAGCAACGAGTGCCGCCAGGCCAGGCCCTCGTGGGATCGTGTTTCCTACTGGCGAGCAGCATCACACGAAACGAGTTCGCGATAACTTTGCTCAACACCCTGGGCCTCTTTGTGTTTCACGGCCGCAGAATCGACGCCTGTTGTTTATGCGCTTCTGGGGGTAGCGAGGTCAGCTAAGGGGTCTCCAAAAGTCCAGGGGGTGGGCCGGGTACGTACAAGGATCTATTTTTTGACGCCGCCGCGCCGTCGAGTCTTCGGCTCCGCGCTGTTGGGTGCGCAGCCAGCCCTTCGTCCCCAATGCCACACACGGCCCAGTCGGGTTGCCTCTTCCCTCGCTCGTCTCCAAGACGCCATCGTCCACAAGCTCACACACCCTCTTTTTATGTCATGTCGCTGCTTTCAGTGCGGCACTCCAAATCTTGGCCAAAATGCGCAAGCGAGTGTTTGCTGCTTACGGACAGGCTTCCCATGACGTCGAGAGCCTCGCACACCGGAACAGGCAGGTCACCAGGCACTGACGTTACGAGGTCTCCGGTTTTTCTACTTGTCAGTCTCTCGTGATCATATCGCTATTCGCACGATCCCTCGACGTCGCCAGTCGATTTTGGCAGTCTGCGTCCAGCACGCAACAGGCACCCCAGGAGCTAGCGGCTTACCGAGCTGTCAAGATGGCGCTCTAACGTCTGGCCTTGTTGCGCTCAGCCTCAGGCTGTGTGAAGTAGCCCGTGCAAATAGTCGGCTTCCTCCCCAGGTGAATATTTCCCTCCTGTCTAGCTGCTTGCCTGGTGACCCTCCCACACTTGATGAGTCTTCGGCCGCAGCAGAAGCCGTGACCGGACGAGCCAGAGAAGGCAGGCTTGCTTGCTTGCTTGCTTGCTTGCCCTCATTGCACAGTGCCGCTTCTGAGTATTCCTGCTCCATTGTGACTATGCTGTGCCCAACCCGCTGCTGGTCGTGGTGGAGTTGCGACACTCGCTCCCCTTGCACAGCTGAGTTTCCTGCCTACACAGCACCGTTTCAGTACCTCGATATAGCTTGATTTATATTGAGGACAAGGGAAAGCTCTCCAGAGCTTGAGACCCGCTGCCGCATGGACGAGGGCAGGCCCTTGACAGCCACTGGCAGAGGAGGCTTTCCGGGGTTCAACCGTCCCTCGAAGAAAGGCACACGGCCGGGGCACACAGTCGCAAGATGGGCAGCAGAAGTGACAGGGGCCAGGAGCGTGCATGTACATGGACCCCTGCAGCCCTGGTGTGGCCATGGGATCCTGACCACCCCGGCTACCGATTTCCTGGCCATGGTGCACCCTTAAAGAGGTGTCTCGTCCTACCCATAGACCTGCATTTGGCCTCGTCAGTCACCAACCTATATTTAAAGGGAATCATAGCTCTGCTCCTTTGTATCTGGCCCGGCCTACATACATCATACTCGCCAAAGTTCGGCCCTTACCAAAGACCAGTTTCGAGTCTTCCAAACCAGAGCCGCCATTTGTTCTCATCTATCCAACCCTATCCAACACAGCCAACTAACCTCACCTCGACCTGTCTCGACCGGCCCGACCACACCACCGTCGACCGTCTTGTTCTCTCGACTTGTTCTTTTGAGCCTCCCACCCGACCAGCTTCGGCCTCGGATTGCATGTTCCCATGTCTTTACAGTCAACTCGATATTTAAAAGATCGTTTCGTCTCTGACACGGCCGACTGACACCACCTGGGACCGGGCTTGGGCTGGACCTAAGTGGTTGCTAAACCCTGACCCGCCAACGAACATCGCCAGACCACCCAAAGCGGCACAGGTACTCCCCTGTCGTCGTCTTTGTCTACTTCGAAGAAAGCCTTTCAGCCGCTCTCACATTAGAGAGACTGACACCGTCGACTGATATCTCAACGGGCTTTCCACACCAAAGCTAGCTTTCCCAAACTCGAGTCTTGACAAGCTGCCTCATCTGTTCCACGCACCCACCTCCAACATGTGTATCAAGAACATCTACCACAACGTCTACGTCGACGGTGAGAAGGACGTCACTGAGCGGGTTGACGCATGCCGTTCTGGTCACATATGTAGCGACCCCATCGTGCGCGAGTTCGACCGCAAGATCAACTGCACCAGACTACAGCTTTCTGTCACCCCTGGGCGGACGGACTCTCCCTCTTCGTCGCTAAAGGACAGGCAGCCAACGCCTTACTACTTTGATCATCGGTCGTCTCCGTCTTATGGAGAGAGTGACAGGGAACGACGGCGTGAGAAGCGTGCCAGCCAGCAGCGGCTCTACGTCGACGGAGACCGCGTAACCGACTATGGCGTGCGCAGGAGCGGCTCCCGCCGGACTGAGCCGATCCCCATCCCCAAGGTGCGTCGGTCATCGACCATGCCCGTCGACGATGGGTATTATAGCGAGCCAAGGCGTGAGCACCGGTCACGGCCCATCATTGTCGAGAACGGCGACCGTTCCCGCCGTTCTTCATCAGCACAACGGCGGGAGTCATCTGCCGTTCCCTTGGGCCCTTACGACGTGCTATATAACTATGGCGCTGGATCTTCCCGACGGGACCGTGAGAGGCACGCCCGGGACTCGTATCTGGAACCATCACGCTCGCATCGCCGCCACTCAAAATCGCCCGTGGAAGTCTATGGAGAGCCAGATCAATACGACCGTGAACGCCGGCGCTTGAGACGTGCGAAGCCTACTATCGTCGATGGCCCTGCTACTACCGGCATCTCCGCCGAAGCCATCTATGGTTCTTCCCCTTTCGGAGGGTCATATGATTCCTCGTATGGCTCACACCCGTCCAACGACCCGTGGACTCGCCATGCCACATACGGCACCCAGACACCACCAGACAGCCGCGCTCCGGCTGTCAAGGGCGTCCGTTGGGATGATGACCCACGCGCCGCTCAGAACGCCAAGATAAACAGCCGGCCTAAGCTCAGCCGTTCTGCGACCATCACTGGAGCCGGCACTGGCTCGCACCTCCACGGTGAGGTGAAGGGGATCCTGAAGAACACCAACTCCGCCACCACCTATGGCACAACCGCAGCGGCTGGTTCTGGTTCCCCTCCAGCTGTCCAGCCCCTGCAACGGGAGGAGCTCGACGACCTGTACAAGTCTGTCCGGGGCATTGGCGTCGATGAGCGGGAGACAGCGGCACAGCGACAGGCCAGGCGGGAGAAAGAAGAGCGCGATGAGAGAGACTATCGCGATCGCCTTATGAATCGGTTCAGCCCTCGTGACCGGCGATCATCATTTGATATGCCGCCCAGGCGTTTTACCGTTGAGAAGGGATCAAGAGGAGGCAGGAGGGCCGAGGTATTCTACCCCGACGAGGGCAGGTACAAGTACACCCAAGGGTACTGATCTCAGTCTACGAACACCTCATGACATCTTGCATTATGGATTTACAGCATGCAGTTCTACCAGCGTTTGAAATTGCCAGGTTGGAGTCAGGAGCAAAATTATTCTCACTCGCTTCAGAATATCTACAAAACAAAGATGGGAGGGAGCGATGCACCAAGCTGGCAACGTGACCAGTTGCTGTACCCAACAGTCCAACATTCTTTATGATAGACAATACAAGCTTTTCTTTTGTTCAAAATGAATACTGAAGCCTATCTTCAACACATCCAACGCACGGTGAACTCGACCTGCCAGTCCAAGCATCCAAGCCAAGCCATCCAAACGTGCCACTACCAACATCCCGACATCAGAGCCCAGATTACCCGAAAAGCAAAATAAACTTTGAACCATGACGCGAATGCCGATCATCACGGACACAAAGTAGGGCCCTAGACCGGGAATGCGGCCTGACGATACACCCAAGGCCGCCAGCCTCAGATCCGGGGCAGGCGACCAACCACGGGTCGCCGCCCGCCGAGATCAACACGGGATCGACCAACCGGAGACTTAGGACAGACGATGCCTTCATGGGCCTGCCCAGGGAGCTCGGAGTTTCCCAGCTTCATCCCTTGCCGTCGCCGGCGGACCGACCTTGGAGCGTGCTCGCCTCACTGCCGTCATCCGACCTCGATGTGGGTGGCGCGCGGCGGGCAAACCCCGGTCTGCCACAAGGCGAGCGACGTTGGCCAGCTGGGATAATCGCGGCAGGGGACCCTCCATTTCCCGAGGCGGTGGGGCGCGCCATCTGCTGCGTGTGCACCCGCATTGCATGGCACTGCAGCAGCAGGGCAGCAGGGCAGCAGCAGCAGAGTCAGTCGTGTCTTGCTGTCGGGGCTGGGAATACAACAAGCACCATGCAGAAATTCCCCATCCGAACCGGGCAATCCATTTCTTTTTGTGGACTCCTCCACCGCGCGGGTTCCCAGGTAACTCCCCCCCCCCCCCACCGGCGCACGGATGGGGCAGGTTTCATCAACCTAGACTGCGGGCCGCACTGGCAAGCAGCGCAAGCAGGGCTGGCTTTGCTGCGCCCGCCCGTCCCCAGTGGGACTTGCTCGGGCTGGCAGCGGTCGGTCGGGGTCGGCGCGGTTGCGATGCGGAGCACAGGGCATTGAAGCTATCTTTAGGCCCGCATGCGGCCGTGCCTGTTCTCGTACTTGGACGTAGCGAATATTGGGTCGCTACGCAGACCACTGAATCACGACGATGAGTTGTCACTTTATTCTACACGCCGTCTGGTTTTTTTTTTTTCCCAATTTCTTTATGTGTTGGTGTCCTCATAAAGCCCGCCTGTTAATCACTTGTGCGGCAGGGTCTTGGATTCGCCACTGGGTTGGCACCGGAGCCTTGATTTCTTGCAAACGGTGTGGAAGATCATTCTGGGCAAGTGGGATCGGAACCGACATCATGCGCCGAACCAGATGCAAAATTTATTGTCTGACATACTGCTACCTCGCCTCATTCTATGCATCTCACAACCGAGCCCTGAATACTTACACGCAGCATCAAGATATATGCAGGACCAAGCCACAAACCAGGAGCCCAAGTGCAACCCGAGCCAGCCCACCGCTGCCACTGCCAAAGTGCCGACTGGACGCCGACGAAGAACCTGGCGGATGCAGGCTGATTTTGAAAGCGACCAAGGCACTATCCTTGTCTCCCCCTTCGGCGCTGCTGCACGTCGTTGTTCCCAGCTCGCCGTGCATCTGCCCAGACCTGCCGACCTCGTCGATAGCCTGGGTGATGAAGTTCACCAAATCCTGATTTCCCACCCTAAGAACAAGTGTTAGTATCTGATTTTTTTTTGGGAGACTGTTACCAGGGACTTACTTGAATCGCCCACTAAGACCGTCAACCCTGGCGACACTGCAGTAGCACTTATCGTGGGAGGAGAGCAGCTCTACGAAGGGGTCGCCATAGTTGTTGGTGACGGCCCAGTAGCCGGCCGGGGAGACCTCGGAATTGATTATGTCTACTATCCTGTTGCAGTACCATTGATCCATGTACCCACCCGTTGCACTTGCGTCTGTCCAGTTACTGATTCTTCCCGTATCGCAGGTTGATATCGGTGCTTGGGATGTGTCGTTACTGCCTTCGTTAGTCCAAGTAGACCCCCTAGGTTGGATATTAGCCACATCGGCGAGGGCCCGGGGAACCATCGCTGAGATTAGTAGTCTTGATTTGTTCATTTCGTCTATTACAAACATGTCTCGCCATTTTGGAGTGAAGTATACTCTTCTAAAGTCAACCACTTTTATATGTTATGATATTCATGACAGAAAGTCTTTGATGACTTGGCGGTTGCTCTTGCAACCACACAACATCCGAGTCACAGCTACCATTGAATCACCTATTGAAGTAGACGAACGAACTTTTCTATGTATGGTGATCTTTGGTGTTTGAACGGCGGTAGTTGGTGTCCTTCGACTCAAATTTTGGGAAGGCTCCAACTCACGCACCCAGCACAACAACAGATGAGCTCATGAAATGCTGTATTGAAGGCCAGAAAACGCTTTTGTGGCTAATTGTAGAGAAATTTAAAAATTAATATTGGATTTAAACACGTGCTTGGACATGTCTGTGTTTCCTGCGAGAAGGTGTATATGTTTATGACCACACACATACTGCATTTGATGACACGCGCACCGACGAGCTATCGGCTTCACTCAGCGCCACGGTTGGCGACTCGTCTTGATCAGATGGTTCGTGAGTGAGGGTGAAGTCACTGGGCCGGCGATTCGCACACCTTCAAACGCGGTATCTGCGAATCAGCATTGAATGCACACAAAGGCTCACGACTAGGCAGAAATTGCGAAGGTTGAATCCTCCTTACTCCAACGTCTCATCTGCCCAATCGCGAATATGCCGACAGCCTGAAGAACGCATGCAGTGGCACTCTGTCGGAGGCGTGTCGCATGGTCGCAGCGCATATGCGAGATCTGCGCAATACCACCATCCTCACCACCACCACAAACACTCAGGCCGAAGGATCATGGGCCGCATCCGGATAACTGGCTATGTTCTTGTGGATGGCACTCAAGACCAAATTCGCCCTATCTTGGAGCTAACGCACCTGCGCCACGGCCATTTGATATGGTTACTTCGTTATTAACACGTCACGGTGTCTCGGGGCGGGTCGAATCGCGGTGGCCCGCGAACGACACGCGGTAGCGCGCGTGGTGTAAGGGTGCGGAAGCTACTCGTATCCTATCAAAGATGGTGTGTTGACTCTGAGCCCTCGCCGTGAGCATCATGGCTATATGGTGTGGTGTGGAGAGTATAGTGTTGTGATCAGTACCATGGGCAGTGATTGGTGGGCTAAGTGGTCATACAGGAGAAGGGGTGCGCCTCAGCTGCATGTCTCAAATAACCCTGTAATGGTTCATAATGAAGGGCAGTATCTTGCTTAAGCTCATTTTCGCTACAAATTTACTAATTCCACCAGTGTACAAAATCGCATGGTGAACTATGGATTGTTCAACCCAGCCTGGGTTGCTCGGTATTGGAGCCGAGCACAGACAAGTAAAGTTTTCAGTGAAAGCATAGACCGAGCTGTTTATAAGACCAGTGTTATGGCTCTAATTATCATCCAACTGTTTGCTGGGTCTGGATCACGTACCATTTCAATGGGGAGCTCAAGATTGCTTGTTGGTCACGCCCAAGTGGTTGAGCCATTTGACTTAGTGCTAGCTCTTTGCGTTACCATTACGGCCCATCAGCTTCGACCTTTCAAAGTCCTTCTTCTCCGTAATCCAGTCCTTCTTCAATGACTTGAAACGTTCATCTTCAATGCACCTCCTCCACATCACTTTGAAAATCTCACTTGCCTCCTCCTTCTCCTTCCTCTTCCTAGTGTCTTCCTCACTGCCGCCGGCCCATTTCTCGAGCTTATCACCCGTGTCCTTGGCATATTTCCGCCCTCCCTTGTGGTTTGCATATCTTCGCGCTCTCGTCATTCCCATCTGGATGAACTTTCGGGTCATGTCTGCACCGACAAAGTCCTTTCTTTCCACATAGGACTCAAAGATCGCCCAGAGGATCTCGGACGAGTTGCGGGCAACGGGCACCGTGCGAAACGCCCAGTAAGGTAATATGTGGCCTTTGTATGGCTCAAAAGACAGAACGCCAGTTTCTCCTCGCCCGATTTCGTAGCTGTATCGCAAGGCAGAAGAGTCCAGTGCAGGTGTTGGAAGGGGCGACGATGGGGGGGACTTCAGAGAGCCAGATGGAATGACTGTGGCAGGTGGAGTTGTTGTCCGCATCTTGACCATTGGTAGAGAACCTGTGGCACGTTTGATTGCCTTCGACAGGTTTGGCTTCACAGAGTCGTATCGCGCCGTTGTGATGTTATTTCACCGGGGAAGGGCTGATAGGGCCTTGTCAAAGACTGATCGATTCTCAGTTTGGCAACGATATTCAGCGATGAAAGAAGCAAGTTGTCTGATTTTTGTGTCCAAAGTCTTCACAGTTTCCAACTAGCCTTGTGTGATTACCGGATCGTATGCTCTCGGAACCATTCAGTCAACACAAATGGAATATCTCACATTGTGCGCGAACACAAATAATGACGTCAACACTTTTGAGTCTTGTGCTAGTCCGTTCCACGCGCGGCTGGGTGCCACGGTAGAGCTTTGTCTTTTGAGTGTCAGCTGTCCAATATCTCTCAAATTTCGAAAATTCATTTGTAAGTTCTTGTGTAATCTTGTCTCGCTGTCAGATATCACTATGGAAGGGCAGGACGGATGGTGCAGGCTAATGATTGAGACATCAAGCTCAGCCAGGCCGTGAGATACCCGTGAACGCATTTTTAGGGCTTTTTCAGAAATTGCAATCAATAAATACCTATTCCATTCCTTCAAGGGCAAATTTTTCGGGGCCCTGCCCCCTTTCGTGGGCAGAAGTTGTTGAGATGATTTTCTATTCTCTCGAAGGAGGCGATTGACAGACGAACACAATCGTGGTTACAGTACTGTGGTTTACCTGGATTTGGGCACTTTCTCGCTCAATTTAAATAGGCATGTAATTATGTGTATATCATTCTGGGCTTGGATTTATCTGTAGAATTGTTTATTTTCTGTGTTATTAATTAAGAAAACGGAGATTTGCAGAGCAAAAAAGGGAGGGTATAAAGGTATATATTGCTGCTAATTGTTACGGTTTGGGCTTTGCCCATTGTAATTAATCAGCGGGCTTTGGCCTTATAAGAATAAATTTTGGCGCAAATATAAATGGGAAGCAAACCTCTTCCTTTGCACTTTAAATATAAACCTCATTTAGGCACCTTTAGCTTTAAAAGCATAAGGTAAGCTTATAATATATATTTAAAGTCCTTTTATATTATAAATTAATAATATAATTATATAAAACTTAAAAAAAATAATAATAGCTTGCTAAGTTTTTCCTTATTTTAAGAAACTTTTATTTTAAAAATGCTTAATAACTTAATTAATAAAAATAAAAGCTAAATTTATAATAAATAAAAAGGCAATTAATATTAAAAGGGCTAAATTCTTTTATATATTTAATTAATTAAGAACTTTTTATAATTAATTTATATTTTATATTAATTTTATAAAGATATTTAAAGATTAATTAAAAAGCTTTTTAAAAAAGGTTTATTTTATACTTAAAAACTCTTTTAAATAAAAATATATTAAGCTTAGCTTAATTATATTATAATAATATTATAAAAAAGAAATAATAAAATTTCTTACTTAATTTAATTAATTAATTTATATAATAAAGGCTTAAAGTTAATTAAATAAATATAAAATATTATTAATAATTAATACTTTAATTTTTATAATAAAAGCTTAACTTAATTATAAAAAGTAATTAAAAATATTTAAAGCTTTTTACTTTATCTTATAATAATATAAAAATATTTTTAATATTATAATAAAAGAAAATAATATTTAATTTTAAAATAATAAAGTAATAAATATTAATATTATAATAATTTTAATAAATAAAGTTAAGTATTTTATATATAATTAGCTTAATTATTATAAATATAATTTTCTTAATTATTATAAGAAAATAAAGATATAGCTTTTATTAATTAAAATTAATAAAAAAGAAATATTTATTTAAAGAAATATAAAGATTTTCTTATAAAGTAAGGCTTAAAATATAATTAGCTTAATATTAACTTAAATTTAAAGTATATTAATTATATATTAATTAATATAATATTATAAGGTATATTTAGCCTTAAAAAAAACTTAATTAAAAAAGTAAATTATTAATATATTAAATATTAATTAATTATAAAGTATATAATAACTTTATAATTTTAAAGCTTTAAGTAAAAAAGTATATATAAATAATTTATATTAAATAATTATAAAAATATTATTAATTTAATAGTTAATTTATACTTAAATAATTACTTTTATTACTTAATATATTAAATTATAAGGGTTGAAAGTATATTAATTATAAAAAAATAAGCTAAGCCTTAATATATTTAAAAAGTATTAAGGTATAATTAAATAGCTAAATAAAGAATAATATTTAATTTATAATTAAATTATAATATTCTTTATTCTTTATTAAATAATTATTCTTTTAAGCTTATTATAAAATCTTAAAAAAGAAGGATATATTATAATTTAAGCTTTACTTATTATAATTAATTAATAAGCTTTAATCTTATAAAAAAAGCTTTAATATAAGTATAAATAAGAAGTAAACTTCTTTCTTTATATTTTAAATATTAACTTTATTTAAGTATTTTTAGCTTTAAAAGCATAAGGCTAATTTATAATAACTTATAATATTTAATATTATTTTTTTATTTATTATAACTTTTTTATAAGCCTTTAAAGTATTATCCTTATTACCCTTAAATATAAAAAATTATAAAGTTTATTCTTTATAATAATAACTTTTTTAAATAAAAGTATAATAAAAGAAAGAATTTTAAGAAAGAAATTATAATTAAAATAATAATTTTTATAAATATTACTTTTTTTTAAAAATAATTTTATTTTATTAATTATATAATTAATATAAATTATATTATATTAAATATAAATAAGGTAATAATAATTTAAAGTTATATAATGCTTTTAATAAACTTATATTTAAAGTATTTAAATTGCTTATTAATATATTATTTTAAAAAGCTTTAAAGTAATCCTTAAAATTATTAAAAAAAGCTTTTTTAACTATTTTTAATTATTAAACTTCTTAAAAGCTGCTATTTTTTAATATATTTTTTTTAAAAAAGATTTATAAGCTATTTTTTAAAACATTATATAAAAAGCTTTTATTAAATAAAATGTTTTTCTTATATTATAATTTAATTAAAGCTTAATTTATTAATATATATACTTTATAAAAAAGATTATATATAAGTTAAAGTTAAGGGTTTTATAAGTAATAAATTATTTAAATTTAAAAGTAATGCGTTTTTTATAATTTATTATTTAATTATATATATTTAATAAATAATTAAAAAAATACCTTATTTTTAAAGCATAATAATTCCTTATATAAAAAGATTATATTATTATTTTAAAGTATTATTAATAAAAAAAGAAAAGCTAGCTTTTAATAGCTTTTTAAATAAGCTTATAAGCTTTTTAATAAGTATTAAATTAAGCCTTTTACTTTCTTTAACGTAGTTTATTAGGAAGTGGCGGATATTAGGAAGTAGCGGATTTTTGCAATTTTAGCTAACTTTAGCCAGCCATAACACCCACTTAATGCAAAAAGATTTATAAGATTTAGCACTAATTAATGCTAACTGCAATTAAACCCTTATTTTTAATTAATTTTATTAATTTAAAAGCATTAATATAATTATAATACTAATTTAAATTAATTAACTTTTAATAAGAAACATGCATTTAGCACTATTTAATGCTAACTATACCCTTAAAAAGTTAATCCGCTATGAATTACTAATACTTATATATTTGCATTAATTAATGCTAACTAAGCTAAATTTACTATAATATAATTAAAATTTAATTAAATAAACTCTTCTTTATCTTTCTTATAAGTTTTTATATTATATTTAGTCTTATTATAATTACCATATTATTTTTTAATTAATCCGCTGCAAATTAACTCCTTAGCACTATTATTAATTTTATTAGCTAGCCGCTTTCTCTTTTATTTTTCTTAAATAAAAGCATAAAATTCCTTAATAATAAGTGCTTTTTTTAAGCTGCATTTAAGTTCTTTTAGCCCTTTAATATTTTATAAGTGCTATATTAGCCTTTTAAAGTATATAGATTTACTTGCTTATTATAATAAGTAAATACGTTATTATTTATATACCCTTTGCTAATTAATTAATAATATTTATAATTAATATAAGGGAGCTTTCTTAATAAATAAAGATCTTACCCTTAATAAAACTTAATTATTAAATAGTTTATTAAGCATTTAATAATATTTAAAACTCTTATTTTTAAAGAGAAATAAAAAGGAACTATATAAAAGTTTATAAATAAATATTAAGCTTAGAAATTATAAAATTAAGGTTTTAAGGGGAAATTTTAGCTTTTTTAAATGCAAACTTAATATTTTCTATCATAAAAGTCTTATTATAGGCTGCCTTAAATATAAAAAAGAACTTAAACTTAATAATATAATTAATAAAAGTTTAAATAAAAAGGTTAATTTAATTACTATATATATGCTTTAAAGGTAAATATAATGCAATATTTAATAACTAAAATAAGTAAAATAAATGCAGCGGCATATTAATAATAATAATTTTATTATCCTTATAATATTAATTAAACTTAGCTAATATATAGCTCTTATAACCATTTATAATTAACATTTAATAATTAACATTTTTCTTTAATTTAATATGCTTATTAAAGTATTAAATCCATTTTAAATTAATCTTATTATTTATTTATTTATTAAGAATAGGCTTAATAACCTAATTATTTAAAAAACTTAACTTTATTGCCTAGCTAATAAGGTAATAAGCACCTTAAATAATTATAAATAATAGGATTTATAACTTACTTATATTAATGTATTTAATAATAATTATTTATTTTTAATTACTAAGCTAAATTAATTTAGCCTTTCTATATTTATTAATGCATATAATAACCATTAATATAGTAATTATATTTATTATAAAGCTAGTTTTATTAAAGTTATAAAGATTATTATTAATAATTTAATACTTAGCTATTATATTATGGAGTAATTTAAATTAATTCTTAATAATCTTTAAATCTTTATAAAGGGCTCTTTAATAATTATAGGGATAATTAAACTTAAT